TGGGAGTAGCTAGAGTAGGCAGGAGAAAAGACAATGAGATTCTCATCTCTGCATTTAGTGGTGCCACTAAAGTGTACAATGCCTTGTTATGAGAGCTCCACGTATTTGCCTAGGGCAATGATACTCAAAGTAGCTGGTTTGCAAACCGTTGTCTATCCAAGATGAGATAAGGAGCTTGTGCCAGTATGAACCAAATATGAACCAACGCACTGCCTTCTTCATTAAGAAAGACTTGCCAAGAAAATAATGTCAGATGAGCCGAACAGTGGGCTTAGTGGTATGGTAGGCGGAGTTGGGGTAGAGAGGTTAGACTGTGTGTCCATTGTCTCATGAGGAATTTACTATAATTTCTCCTATAGGAGAAATGAGAGAGACCAACATTTCTGAAAAACCTTGGGCATCTTATTGAAGCTTCTATGGCAATACCTAAGGCTCTAGAAACTGCATTGATGATGTGCATTTATAAAGATTTGCTATTGGTATAGAGACAGTACCTATGGCATGTCTTCTAATCCTAGGCAAGGGTGCAAGCTAGTTAGGAACATAGTTCTTTTCGCAGGTGGGTGCTAAACCCACTTACTTTTTTTTTAAGAGAAATAAAATGAGGGAGTGGGTAGAGAGTAAGGTGGAAGATGAAGACATGTTACACTGTGAATCACATTCTATTTTGATTAGTAGCAACTAATGGAGAATTAGTGGTGAATTAGGACTAGAATGATTCTTATCAGATCAAAACCGACACCTCTCTACTGGTTATTTAGCCAACACTATAAATTTTTCCAAAGTACTTCACTTTCTTATTTGATTCACACAATAACTCTGTCAGATTGGTAAAGTAACCTTTTGATTGACAAGCCTAGATGCTCACAGATAGAGTCACTAAGATTCCATGGCCAGTAAGAGGCAGAGGTACACTGAGTCTTTTTTTGAGTACTGTTTAATATACCTTCCATTATGTCATGCTCGTTTAACCAACATGACTGGAATGTGACTGGAGGTATTCATGAAATAAAATCTAGTGGCACAAAATCCAAGGTGATTTCTGCCACACCAGAAGATGAAACATTAAGGAATTAGACACCAAAATTGGTTTTCAGTTGATTCAGTCATAAGTTAACTCCAAGATGTAATAGCCAAGGAGATCAAGACCCAAGATTCTCTATGACTATTCTATGGCAGGCGCAAAGAAAAGGGGTGAGACAGATTAATTGCCCAATGAATGGTGTGTGCCAGTCTCTTCTGCTCTATTTATCTAGAAAACTAAGTAAGCATTATAAACAAAATTCCCAGAATAGAAATTCCAAATTAATCCCAGGTCTCTGTTTTTCAAGAGGAACGTGTAAAAGATCACTGCTAAGAAAAGTTTTGCATCACTTGACATTTAATTTGAAATTATTTATCTTCAAGTCAGCAACAATTAGGTGCTACTATCAGCCATTCATCATGAAATGCAGAATACATTTCCCCCAGAGGAGAAAGAACAGTGCCTTGAATAGAGAAAGTCAAGGAAAACCACCACAGTTGAGATCAGATGTTTTAAAAATAACTGTCCTTTACTTGTCCCCTCATGAGGCACGTAAGTTATATTGTGATATCACTGCTTTGTCCCTTGTACCTTACAAAAGTGGCACCATGCTAGCGAAATTCTAATAAACAGAATTCAGTACTTAGCCCTGTATTATAAAAATGGACCATCCAAAACACTTATATTTCCATGGGAAAAAACATATGCTAATTAGTTAGCATATATGGCTCGTGAGACAGGCACATGGTACATTCAACAAGAGAAGAAAATAGTAGTGTGGTCACCTTTTAATTGCGTGGGTTTGAATCTAAGCCAATTATAATACTCCATTAACTCTGCCTAATGAAACCAATATGGAATTAACATGAGATACACATTTTAGAAAGAAATGTGTATCTGTCACTACCTCGGTAGGTAAATTTGAGGCATTAACTTTGGAGAAACAATACAAACTCTCAGAAGAAAAAGTAGCAGGGGAGTGAAGAGAAAGAAAGAACTGGAGGAGCTGAATGTTACTTAAATGTAAATGTTAACTGCATCCATGTGCAGATCATTATTTGAAGGTCATGGGAACAGAATTTAGTTGGCCTCAAGTGGAGGTTTGGGTGTGATAAAGTCAGAATTTTTGGGGTAGAAGCATCTTTGACTCTATCCTATATGTAATGTTGTATTAAGCTTTTATTATGTAGTGATAATACACGTACGGTTTCCAAAAGTGGGTAGCTAACTATCTAATTTTAATGGATTTCCCTGATTGAAGGAAGTTGGTTCCTTCCAAGCTGATGAACCTATGTGTTTATGTTTCAAATAAATAGTATACTGAAATAAAACGACTATGCTACTCTCAGGGGTTTGATCATATCAGTGGTATCTCTTTCCATTCAGGAGTTGTAGCAGGATGTTATCAAAACCATTATTTACTAATTAAAGGTTTCATGTGAAAGAAATCAGTAGCCCAAAAGAAAGTGGGAGAAAACATTGTGGCTGCTCCTGCTCTAAAAGCAATTTTGATTTGTCTGATTGTGTGGACAAGTCCCCTCTCTTCTAGAATCCTTTAATCATGCACTGGCACAGTCAACAAATTAGGTCACTGGGCATAGATTCTAATAAGGACAGTGGCTAAATTAAGTCAATTTGATTTAATGTGTAAAATGACTTCATCATTCTTTTATATTTAGAAAGTTTAAAAAAAAAATCACATCATTGTATTAGAGAAAGGTCCACTTTTCAGAAGCCAGGGGAAGATCAGTTATTATTTTTGCTGAAAGCAGATGGTGGTCATATCCTAAGATTACATGTTACAGTGACTTGACATTGAGCTGGACATTTTAAATATAGGACATTATAGAATGACATTTAAATTATATACTAAAAGTAAGACAGGTTAGATATGTTTGAATTTAAAATACAAAGATAAATGAAAGAAAATGTCCTCAGTTGGCCAAACTAGATCTGAGTTAATAAAATAATCCCTCCCTTTCAAGATGTGTCTCATGAAAGTAACAATGACAACAGTGATTTAAAATACACTTCTGAATTGAAATACACAAGTAAATGTGCTTGACATAGTATTTATTTTATTGTCAGCTTGCAAGGGTTGTCCCTGGAGGACTCTTCGTCCTTCAGTGGTCCTAAAGCTTTGAAATTTACTTATTCTAGATGCTTCTTCACAGTTTCTCTGGTCTCCAAGTTGTAGTGTGCTGTATACTACAAAAATTCATCATGGAGCACAGACAATTTCACTTCTAACTAAGGAACACTAATTTTGGGGAAAATTCTTGCTATTTAAGACTCTTGCCAAACAATCTACAAATGGAAAGGAGTCTGGAGAATGTGAACACTATTGGCATGTATGAAGTATTAGGTAATAAAGAAGCAATGATGAGAAGCAAGTGATGCTGACTCTTGCATTTGTTAGATCTTATTCTGCATATCTATTAATAATGATACACCCTATGGATGCAATTTCATGTTTATAACACTGGGCATTGGCAGCGTTGTGCACCTGTGTTTTCCATGCCTTCCCATCTGCTGCCTACAGTCATTCAGATTCAGGTGACGGAAATATTTCAGATAAAAGTTAATTAGCCTGCACTCTGCAGATCAAATCTCTACAGTTCAGCATTAAATAGAAATCTTCTGGGCAACTGCTGAAAGTGGCCTGAGGCTGCCCTTCCTAAAATTAAAAATGTAAGATTCATTTTTCTAGAAAAGAAACCTTTAGTACTCTGTTTATATTTTACACATAGATTTGATCAAACTTTTCACATATATTCGCTCTTACTCATTTTATATTTTTATCTCTGTATATATATCGAAAGTGGAAGAGAGATTAGAAATATTTTTTTCCAGCTACAGTGATAGAATGAAAATGATATAGAGTTAGAAATTCTCCCGAGTCTGGACTCTATTATTAGTACACCAACCAATGTTGATCAAGCCCCAGAACTTTCCTCAGTTTCTCAGTTTTTAAAATGGGACCAACACCAACTACCTATTTGTTTCATAAATACTTTGTGCAAGACTCAATCATGCTTGATATTTTATTAAAAAATAATGCACAAAATGCAGAAAACTCCTATTGCTAAAAGGACCCCACCTTCTCTGTAGATATTTATCTTATTAATTGTCAACAGTTAAGTTCTCAAGTAGCTTCCTTTATTGAAACTATATATATATATTGTTAACCCATAGGAAACTAAATCATTACAGTCTTCTTTACTTCTAGATAATTGGAGCAGAAATGGGCTGAACACAACTAAATATAGCCAGTCTTTGAACCCATATCACACAGAGAGAGAGTAGGGACAAAGAAACAATCCCAAATGAGTCCTCCCGTCCATTTTTACGGTATCAGATAATATTTCTAATGCCTTTCAATACCCAAGACTAATTAACCACTCTACCTATTGTTTCTGTACTAATTGCAGATTTCCTGTTTACTCAAAGGAATTCAGAGGGAGGTGTTTTCTTCTTTACACCGTCGCCTAAAGCTCAGGGACATCGTCTAAAGAAGTCGGAAGGGGCAGGTGCTCTTTCCGACAGGTGCTTTTAGAGTTCCTCAGGGGAGTGAAAGACTCTGGCAGTCTGGGATCTTCTATGTCCATTCCCCGCGCTAGTCATTAGAACTTCGACTTCTATTCAATACTTCCATAGGGTATCCACTATGTTTCTCCCAATTGGTCAAAACGTGAAGATTTTTTCGCATATTCTCCCACTTCCTTACTTCCATCTGCTACTCTACCTCTCATTTTATTTCCATCTGCGCTTTAAAATGTTTTATTTTACTTCTACTGAGACCCTTCTACCTGTAAGCTACGGATGTGGTCCGATCCTTAAACAATATCAAAGTTGCAAAGCCCCACGACCCTCAGGTCTTCATCCGCGTTCTCTTCCTCCGCCCCCCCTCCGCCCCCGCTACCATCCCGGCCCCCAGCGGTGCCCATCTCCACTCCACGCCCCAGACTCCTCTCACCTGACTCTCCCGCGGAAACTCGTGGCGCACGATGCTGATAACTGGAATGTGCAGGACGGAGCTGACCAAGTCGAGCTCCATCATCTCGCCCAGGCCCTGGGGGAAGGCGAGCAGCGCCGATACCCCTTGCACCACCACGGTGTGACACACGCTCTGCAGAAAGGAGAAAGGGTCACTGCTCCACGGCGAGCTAGGGGAGGAGAAGGGCAAGAGCGGCAGATCGCCCAGGCCCGCCTCGATGGCCATCACTACTTCCAAAGACAGGTTGTAGGGCAGCAGCCCTTCCACTCGGTTCAGGTTGTCCACGGCGAAGAGGAGGGCATCCCGAGGCCACAGGGTCTCGGCCCGGTCGCCCTCCCCGGGCTTCCGTGCGCCCGGCGGCCCCCGGCCATACAGGGCGCTCCCCAACCAGCGTGCGCCCGGCGAGGGCGCCGGGGGCCGCCAAGTACCTGGCTCAGGTTCATCTCGCTGGGCGCCTGTCCGGCTGCCGTCCGGGGCGCGGCTGGCCGTGCGGGGGGCCGTGGTCCAGGGCTGCAAGTGCACCGCACCCACCCTCACCGCGTGTCCGATGCGCTTGAGGATCTGGCAGGGTTGCGGGTGCGAGGAGGAGCCGGGCACCCCGGCCAGCACCAGTGCGCAGGGCGGCGGCAGCAGCAGACAGACCCTGCTCAGCAGCCACCACAAACTCAATCTCCTCATTACTGAGACCCGCAGGGAGAAAGCGCGCCCCCTCCTGACCCCGGCTCTCCCCCGGGCAGCCTCCGCCTAAGGTCCCCGCCCCCAGATTCCGCTGGCAGCTCACTCCGCGCGGCGAAGCTGTCCCAGGAGCTGAAGCGGACTCCGGGCCATCCAAGTTGGAACCTAGCGCGCCCTAGGCAGTCTCGGGACCTGCTCCCAAGTCCCTCCGCCTCGCATCCTCTGCCCGCCCGGTCCCTGCGCTGAGCGGGGCGGGCGGCGCTGGTCACCCGCGGCTTGGGTGCTTGTTCCCCGCCCGCCCCATCCGCAGGGCGGCTTGGGCACTGCGTCCGGCCCCGCGGGGAAGCAGGACTGAGAAGCGGCTGGGATTCCTAGGGGGCAACGGTGACCGAGGAGGCAAGGTTCTCACTTGGATTCTTTTCTCGCCCAGGCGAGACCCACTTATTTCTTTGGGGTCGCGCAGGAGAAGGCGTTCACGCCCGGGGTGCGGAAAAGCAGCCAAATCCTCCTTGCTCCACCGTCGGCCACCATCTCGCGGGCTCTCCCAGCGCTGGCTTCATTTTTCTTCTTCCCTCGCTACTTCCTCTCTTCCTTTCTTTCGTCCTCTTTCCGCCCAGTCGCCGCCGCCGCTGGCTTCCTCAGAGGAGCGACGCGACTGGCCAGCAAAGGGTGGTTCTGCTGGGAGCGCAAAGTTCTCCCCGCCTCAGCCGGCGCCTGTCTGCTGCTGAGCCCTAGCGCCAGCCTGTCGCTTGGCTGTGCTAGACGCCCACTGTTGGTGAGATTCCCGGGTGGCGCTTCCCGCGCCCCTGGCAAGTTCTCTCCCCTCCAAGGCTGGGGCTCATAGTTTGCGAAATTCCTTGCGACCTAAGAGGGAGAATTCTGGATTCGGAGTTGCGCCCGAGGAATCTGAAATCCAGTAGGTTGAAAGAGGCCGTGATTTTAAGAAGCTTCTCTTCGATGTCTTTCTTCAACGGTTTTTCTAGCTGAGGGTATTAAAGCAAGAATCATATACACGTTGAATCTCGGCTTCGTGCTCTCTGGCTCATGGGCCTTTGCCAATTTTTAAGGATCCCAATGTTTTGGGGTTCTCAAAATTATAACAGTGAATTCGAAGCAATTATTTGATCAAGAAATTAAAGAGATTTAAAATAATTTGAAAGTATACTTTCAAGCACAGTCAACAGCAGTTTGTAGTTTAGACCAAGGGTCCTCCAGATCACTGTTACTAGTAAGTGCTTTCATTTGTGTGGTAATACAATGAGGTCAGTGAGTTATGATTTGATCTTTACCTCCATGATCTGAAAGATCTGGAGTTAGAAGGAAGGAGAGGGTTAAGGGTAGGCCTGTGGTTTCCACACATACAGTACATTTATTTTATTTTATGCCACAGTTTCATTTAGAAGGAGAGTAGCAGAGATATCCATGGGGCAGAGCAAGCGCCCAGGATCAGGAGTTCTGAATTTCAATAACACTTCCAGAGAACCATGACCTTGGCGATTTATTTTACCTGACCTTGCCCTGCTGTTTGGATCTGGTAAATTGTTATGCAAATACACCTAGCTTTTAGCTCTGGAGAGTTGTTTTGATTCGTGAGCTACAGTCTCCATCTTGCTTTAAATCCTTGGGATGAAGAGGCTCTAGGTAAATAAAATTCCCAAGAAGCTTGCAAAGTGAATGTTGTTTTCCTCAGCACAGATCTTGAAAGTCATCTCAGAGCTAACCTTACCTGACATTCTAATTAGCTTTTGCAAGACTGGGATGCCGGAGAAAAGACTCCCATGAGGCAAAAGTGGAAATCACAGTAGAGTCTGAACCAGAAGGGAAGGATTCTTCCTGAGGCCATAGAGAGGCTCTCATGCATGGACGCTGGAACTTTCCTCTTGCTCCAGATGATTCCACTGATTGGGATCTGAATAAGAAAACTATAGAATGTTGTGGTCCTTGCCTTACAGGAAGACTGGGAATCAATTAATTGTGTAGTAAGGAGGTGTGTTTGTCTGTGTATGAGTACGTGTGCATGGAGGAATATGACATTATGACCATGCCCTCGAGTGATTATCTGACTACTTGGCATTACATGTATGTTCAAACCAGATTCCCAAGAAAGTAGTCGGTGATGAAGAACAGTTGGATCTCATCTGTTAATGGCATTCGAGAGCCGCTGTGTTACTAACCCTTTCCAGTCAGTCCCTGACAAGGGCCCTACTGCCCCGTGTCCTTGGAGCCAATAGAACAGACCAAGTTCAGTTTAGAAGCAAAGTAAAGTTTTTTTCTTTGATCAGAGAACACAGAGGTGCAGGCTCGCACCCCAGAGAACGTGCGTTCCCTGACAGGCTACAGGTGGGGCTACTTCATAGGGATCTCGTCAGTGGGGAGGGGCAGAGACCTCACCGGGCAGGCACAGCTGTGCTGCTTTTGCCCCAGACAGAGCACGCAGCGTCTCTGGGCGTGGCCCGCTGCCGCCATCTTGAATTGAGTATCCCGCGCGGTTTGTGCACACCGCTCCCGAGCTGAGGCGTCGGTGCAGCCCTTTCTCACCGCGAGCTCTGGTCTGAAGTGCTGAGTGTGAGGCCTCTGCACCGGCACCCCGGCACCCCATGAGTAAGTGAAACTGGACTAAGCGCCAAGGAAAGAAAGGTTAGACTTTATTTCATTACCCGGGTTCCGTTTTTACTTCCCGGGAATTGTTAATGGGTTCTGCTGGTGCCCGTTGTGTTCTTTAGGCCTCTCACGAGTCCTGGACTACTTGGGGGGAATGCCTCCACTGGTTGTTCATAGAATGGAGGAGGATTCCCACAGTTCTGAGGACAGTGCTGCCCTGGCTCATGATAAAACCATAGCTGAATCTTTCAAATACTGTTTGAGTGGTGAAGAGCAGCCCTTCCTTCTTGTGCTTCCTCTTGTTTCTTTCTGGGTTTTTCAGTTATGCTACCCTGATTTCCTTCCCATTTCCTCATGCTGCTCGGTTCTCTTTTTCCATATCACTGTAATCGGAACATCTCTGACATGATTCTTTTCTCTCCTTTCCCCACATCTTCCTTTTTCTTTCCCCTTTTTCACACTTCAGTGGTCATAATTTTGAAAGCTTTTTAAAGATTCAGTCATCAGTTCAGTGACCATTTATGAAACTCCTACTGTGTGCAGGCATTGCTGTAGAACTGTCCAGGGGAATAGATGAATAAACTCTAGTTCAGAGAAGTTGAGGATATTTTTTTCCTCCACAAAGTCACATAGTTAATGAGTGAACAAAATGCTAACGTGGAGCTTATATTTTAGTGGGAGAGACAGACAATAAAACATACAAGTAAGTAAATGTAGGATGTGTTAGTTGATACTAAGGGGAAAAATAAAGCAGCAAAAAAGAAGTATTATGGAGGAGACTGGGTAGTAATTTTACATAGGGGAGCCAGGGTAAACCTCTCTGAGAAGATTACTTTTGAATAAAGACCTAAAGGGAGGTGAGGAAGTGATTCATACGAATACTTAAAGCAAGAATTTCCGAGCAGAGGAAACAGCAAGGCCCTGAGGCAGGAGTGTTTCCAGTATGTTTGAAGAGTAGTGACGGGTCCAGAGTTGCTGGAGCAACATGACCCAGTGCAAGAGTGATGGCTGGTGAGGTCAAGACAGGCAATGAGGCGGCAGACAACGTAAGCCAATCATTAACTTTGACTTCTACTCTGAAAGGGATGAGAAGGCACTGGGAAGGAGAGAGATAAGAAGAACTTACGGACTTATGTTTTACCAGGACCACTCTAGCTGCTCTGTTGATAAGTAGAGGAAAGATGGGCTAGGATGCAAGTCAGGAGACCAGGTGTGACGCAGTTGCAGTAATACACGAGAGATAATATTACTGTCAAATCATAAAATAACTTTATTGCATTAGTGTTATGATTCCCATTCTATAGAATAGAAAATCATATCTGAAGGAAGTTATTTGCACAAAGTCATCACATAGTGAGTGGCAGTGTGGATTAGAAATTTTAAGTTCATCCCAGCTGCATTGTTGGTAGTAAGAATCAGACCGATTTCGAAATTGGCTCACTCAGAGAAGATGAAGCTCTTTTTATTACCAGATTTGAGATGAGAACTACTAATCTAAGAACCCATGTTGGAGAGTCAAATAAACAAAAACAAATCCAAATGTTCACAATTTAAAATGTGCTTTTGTGCACGTATGTGTTTTCTGGTACCCGGCACGGGTAGACTAAAAGTTGAAATATTCGGAGGTAGCCCAGGAAAGGCTGCAGTGAAGGATGCTGTGTGAGTCAAGAACCTGGATGCTGTTCTCATCTCTGTTTCCCTATGGATGTGACATATAACGTCCTGGAGCTCAAGCTTTCGCCTGTGTACTGGGGTTGTGGTGACAGCTCTTGGTAGTTGTCTGCATGGCAGTGTGTGGACTCCTGTGAACCCTTTCAAGTTCCACAGGAAGAGGAAGCTTCTTGTAGAGCTATCAGTTCTGTCACATTTATAAAGGTTTGGAAAACTATCGTTGTTTTTTTTTGCCTACACCCTGACATATTTCAAGTTCTGCCCATATCTAGCTTTGTTTTTGTAGATGGCGACAATATTAAATGGCATGTTTCTGTCTGGGTCTGTCTTTTATGCAATAGTAACCGTGTAGGTTTTTAAAATCAGTATTCAGAAAAGTGTGCTCACCTTTAACTAATAACACACATGCGTCCAATTGTGCCCTCTCCCAGGTAACTTCTCTGTCTCTATTGCGAGAGACCTCATGGTTATAAGAAGCTTTCTGGGTAGAAACAAACCAAAAAATATGTGGAGTTGGTAGAGGAGCCTTGGTAGCAGAATTTGAGGAGGGAATGAATCTAGAGAATCTAGAAAAAAAATAAGTCAGTTTAGAGGAGCAGACCCTGAGGGCTCATCTATATAAAGCTTAATTATTCTTTTCTTGTTCCCCTAGTTAGAAAAAAAGGCTATGTTGACTTGAAACCTTGTAACATTATCCTATATTCTACTAATTAGGCATTAATTTTGGCAATAGTCATCCTCTTCTAAAAATGCAAATAACCCTCATGATTATGGGACTATCCATCACACATTAGTGTAAATTATTTTACCCCAATTGTTGTAAAATTAATATCGTGTTGGGAAGTTTGGTGGGGGGGAAAGGAATTCATTTTGTATTATAAGGGAATTTGGGGATATAGAAAAGAACCAGTGGGATTTCACTAAAGAAGTTTTGGGCAATCTGAGGGACTGGAAACAGGAGAAAAAGAGTATTAGGAACTAAGAAAATGGGGTGAAAAGGAAGCAAAAAGTTATTAGTCCATCTTGACTATTTCAAATAGTGCTTAAACTTTGCCCTTATACTGGAAAAATAAAGAGAAATGGCTTCTCTTTTGTACCACATGATCACCTATACCTGGGAAACCAAATTCAGTGCAAAGTTATTACCAACATATAAATTAGGAACTGCCAATAGTTGTCTTTCAGCTGTGAATAAGAACACAGCTGTGGTG